GTTGAACTTTGAGATCGAAGATCAAAACATTAATTTAGATTATCTACTCAACAAAATTAAATATATTGAAAAACGACTGTATGAATGTCTACCTCACGATCTACTGATTTTTTTGAATTAAACAAACACAGACTTTCTCATCTTTTGATCTTAGTATAAAGAATAACTCAATTAAGAAGTTCAACAACTTAAAACAAAAATACAACTCCTGTTCACATCTTTTTTCAAACATCAATAATTCTAAGTGGTTGGTCAACATCAGCAGTAAGGACATTCCTGACACGGTTTCTGATTTTTTGAGCTTGGGTGAGAACTTTGCCTTACCTATCGAACAAAAACAAAATAATGACCGCACTAACTATGTTCTGGACGTGATCAAGAACTTTGAAGTGAGTAGCAACATTCTGCCCACCGATACTATCGAAACAACTCGGATTTTAGTGGCCAATATACTTCAAAGATTTCTTGCCACGAAGAAACATATTAATTTTACAGACCGGTATATCCTTAATTCGTTCGCTGTTTCCAAAAAATATCTACGCGAAAACAATAGTGACATAATGATCACGAGATCTGACAAGGGTCAGACTACTGTTGTCATGGATAAAAAAGATTACTTTGATAAAATGCATCTGCTGCTGAGTGACCAAACTACATATAAAACTTTGAACAAAGATCCTCTGAAAAAATTGACTAATAAAATTAACGAGTTAGTAAAATCATGGCGCAAAAATAATTTGATCAGTGAATTGACATATAAAAACTTAAATTGTACGAACGGTAATTTACCGCGATGTTACGGTCTGCCGAAGATCCACAAAGACGGTTTTCCATTGAGAATCATTGTATCTGCTTTGAGAAGTCCCGTATACAACGTTTCGAGTTACATCCACAACATTCTGTATAAATCGATAAAGAAACCACATTCATTTATTAAAGATGGTTGGTTCTTTGTCCAAAACATTAAGAATACAGTCATTAATGAAGATAACATCATGATTTCGTTGGATGTGACTTCGTTATTTACAAATGTTCCAAAGGAGTTAGTTGAAAATGCCATTAAAAAGCGCTGGGACGACATTGCAAAAAATACAAAATTTAACTTATCTCAATTCTTATTTGCAATTGACTTGATTTTAGATTCAACTTGTTTCTCCTTGACAGTTTTATGAACAGATCTTCGGCACCCATGGGCTCTCCACTTTCACCTATCTTGGCAGATATGGTGATGGACGATCTGGAGACACAATGTTTAAACTCACTGAATTTTGCCATTCCCATGTATTACAGATATGTAGACGATGTTTTTACAATTGTACCACGCACAAAAGTTGACGATATTTTAACCATTTTTAATAACTATCACGAACGTTTAAGATTCACATACGAGAAAGAAATTGATTCTTCGATTAGTTTTCTCAATGTAAAAATCATTCGGTTGGGAACAAAACTTATCACCAATTGATTTAGGAAACCTACATGGTCCGATAGATATATTAATTTTTACTCGAATCATCCGTTAAAATATAAAATTAATACTATTTATAATTTAGTTGACCATGCCATTTTGCTATCTGATGATTGCTTTAAACAAGAGAATATTAAGTTAATATATGATACGTTAGTTAATAATTGTTTTCCTGAACACATTATTCATAGACACATTCGAAAAAGAATCAGTTTTTTAAACAACCGCGACCGCAATAATACTGATGACGCCAAGTCTACTCATCCAGATAAAACTCATTTTATCACTATACCATACGTAGAGAATACGAGTCAAGATCTCTACCGTCTTCTACGAAACAGTGGTTTCAACGTCGTCTACAAAGTAACAAAAAAACTAAATAACTTAATTAGATGTGGTAAAGACAGCTTACACAACAATGACAAGGCAAGTGTTGTATACAAATTAAATTGTAATGATTGCAATCTATCATACATTGGGCAAACAAAAAGACATTTGCGGACCCGAGTGAAAGAACATTGTAACAATATAAAGTTACATGAGTCTAATCACTTCGTTATTAGCAAACACAGATTGGAATCCGGACACGATTTTGATTGGTCGAAACCTAATATCTTGCACAATGAAAAGTACGTTCGTAAAAGAGAGATAGCTGAGATGTTCTTTATATCAAGAAATTTAATAATCTAATCAACTTACAGAAAGACACAGATAGTTTAAATAATATTTACGACAAAATTATAAAGGTCACTTAGTATCGCTTTTCCTCTGGTTATGTTTAGTTTCTTGAAGTCTCACACGGACGCATCAGCTTCTCTCAAATTTGAATCTAGTTAAATAACGTTTTTTGTATTACGTGATTGCGTTGTTTTACATGTTTACCATTAATGCTTGCCTTCTGATTATTATTACATCGGTAAAAATCTTTTCACACTTTTATTCTTCGTGCGTTACTATGTATTCAAACCGTTAATTTACTTATTTATAAATCTTTTTTAGTGTATATTTGATAAGGACCACAACCATATGGTCGAAACGTCGTACTAATAAACTCAATTTTTTTGGCTAATTTGGTCGACTACAATTTTTCAATGATCCTTTGATTATTCGACTAGCGATATTAAATTATTTACAATTTTTAATAAATAAATATTTATCATATCATTTATATACCTTTTTATTATTATTTAAATATTCTTTAGGAAAAGAGAAAGAATATGTGTTTGTGATTTAATATCCCATTTATAATCTGCGTCACGTTTTTTACAAATATTTATAGTTTTATAAAATAAACAAAAATATCTAGATAATTATCTAGATTATCGCAATAAGCATCTCATCTTTCATCTAGATTAAGTAAAAGCAAAATCATCTTTATCTCATCTAAGATAAATTTACGGGTTTTGATCTTTATCTTTATCTAGATAATTTTGAAATTATCTACAGCAAACACTGATCATGCAGCACAAAAATAAAGATACTTTTTTTATAATTCAAACTCGCTCTATCGATTAAGCCTAATAAGAATTCGATCCATTCAGCCGTTATTGAAATCCGGTAATCTGAGTTACTTTCAACTGTCTGACTCGCGTATAGATACGGAGTGCCTCACTAATGCTTCGCATGAACTTGGCGCGAGATACTACCGTGTCTCTTGATTAGCAATTAATTATACAATTGAAAAGAATCATAGAAAACATAATTAGTTTACACTATTAGCTTTTCTTTTGACATTCAAGTATCAGTTCAAGTTCAAGTTCAACGAGTTTTTGACTTTATATGCAATGACATCACTATAGTTATAGTTCAATAATATTTTGATATAAACCAAAACATGCATAACGTGTAAAACTTGTAAATTATATAAAGGTAAAAATATTATATACCTTGTAAGAATGTCACATACTTTTGTAATATATCACGTACATAATTATACAACTTACATAAAAGATTAAAAGTTAAAACCCAAAAAACAATAATTGCATTTTTTTTAATCAGAAATCACACATACCGATATTTTATATTTTTCTAAAATTAAAATTTAGCGTCAAATTTCTTGCAAATAAGACATGCATTCCATAAAATTTGTGACTTAAACGATAATCTTTTCTGATTTTTATTAATTATTGCAACGTTGATATATACATTTTATTAAGTTTTTGCTTTACAAGTATGCTTTGGATATCTTTGGATTCTACTCTTTTTCTTTTTTCATTATTTTTTAAAATATTTTTCTGATGAATAATAACAAATTAATATATTCGAAAATTTTTTCTTTTTTTATAACATATTAAAATATTTTATTTTTCTATCTTTGCTAAAAAAATGAAATAAGATAATATCAAATAGTATTTGTCCCCGTTATTTTAATAGTAAAATAGGAAGAGATTTAATAGTCCATGTTTCTTGACGAAGTCTCACACGGACGCATCAGTTTCTCTCAAATTCGAATCTAGTTAAATAACGTTTTTTGTTAATGTGACTTGTGCAGTTTTACAAGATTATCGTCTATGCCTGTCTCCTGATTATTATTACATCGTATACTTGATAAGGACCACAATCATATGGTCGAAACATCGTATTAATAAACAAAATTTCTGGCCAGTTTGATCGACTACACTTTTTTTCAATTGATTCTTTGATTATTTGACTAGCGACATTAAGTTATTTTATAATTTTTAATAGTCAAATATAATATTTTACTTTTATCTCTTTCACTTTTTTCCTTCTGTTTATTTTCTTCTCATTTTATTTGCTTATAATACTAAACGATTATTTCAGCTATAATATTATTTTAAATTTCTTTGTATTTATTTTTATGAAACTTTTTACATTATGATATAAACTTTATTTTATAAGAATATGAAAAAATTTAAAGTTCACAAATTTAAATATTATATTTAAATAGATAGCATTTTTGTAAAGTTTTTTGTAAAAAAATATCAGTACTTTGTTTGTCAATTTCACAAAAATTCATACACATTCCACATTTCAATTATGTCAACTATATGATATTGCAATATATATGTTTTTGCTTTCCGTGAACATCTAAGAATGATGAAGGTCTATGAATTCATAATTTATAAGGAAAAGTGAGAGTGGAAAAATATTGACATTGACTGGATTCTTTCAAGGAGAAACCATAGTTTATCACAATTGTAACAATTTATCATCAAGAATATGTATATAAAATAAATTATTCGTCTATCACAAATCTGCAAGTAGAGTATATAAAATCAAAGACATATTATATAATTCTTGTTTTTTAAAGTTTTTAATCTATAATTATATAATGGTATAAGGTAATTATATAATTATATAAGGTATTAATTCTACATCTTACATTTAATGAAAGTTAATTAGTTACCTTGTAATCGTTATTTTGCATCTTATGAGTGAACAAAAAATCTTATTTCTTTTATAAATTGCGTCATGACTTTAGTCATTTAATACTGAATGACGCAAAGAAAATAAGATTTAATAGAGCATATAGTTAATCGACTGCGATAATTGACTAGTAGCAACTGCGGTATAATATTCAGAACGGATTACGCAGGAGCTCAGTACATTCACGAGCACGGAATACGCGCAATCCATTCTTGTAAAATAACAAACGCAGATAGAACAGAACATCATACTACTACTCGATCGTAATCACGATCGAAAGAAATTAAATCAATAAGAATGTGTGAAACATCATCAACATCAACAGGTATTCAATTCTCAGGTATATCATTCTCGGCTTATTTTTATCATTATTTTAAAACAAAACCAGTATCAATTTTCAAATTATTTTTTGCCAAACCTGTAAATATACTGATGAAAAAGAGTTTAGTTCGATAATTAAACTTGTTGACAAATTTTAAAATTTTTAATCGAAAAATTGGCGCATTTTAACATACTTTGTCACTTGCATTCAATTTCCATTGATGAAGTAAAATATATACAGGGTGGGGAAAAAGTATGGAAGCAAACAATTATTTCCGAAACTATTCATTTTTCGACAAAATGTCTTAGACATAATTTTTATGGTATGAAAAGATGTATTATGTGGCATAGACGGCATGACCTTGAAATGACCCTTACGAGCTGCATACAAATAACATAAAAAATTTCAAATGGAACTCGTCAGTTTTTGTTACAGATTCTTGTAGCTGATGTCGAAACGTTTACAAAACACTGCATATGAGCCCCATTCCCTTAAAAACACTCCCAGTTACGAAACAATTGTGATACAAACAATTTGTATGCACATTGACATTACTTACTGATTTCGCATCATGACGTTCAGTTGCATCCACTAATAACATGTAATTGTACCTGTTGTCATATGATACACTGTCTATGAGTATTCATAGAATATTTTTGATTTCTTGATCATCGCTACCTTATTTATTATTATCATTTATTTTATCCTTAAAAAAGTAGTGTCAATTGGCATACAAGTTTCGGATATTGTGTTTTGAAAATTTGCTATTTTTGTCGTTTTCTATCATAGGAATTGTTACTGATTTTCATTTCTGTAATTTCAAATGTTATTTTCACGATGGCCCGATTAACAGAACGAGAGCGAATATCGCTGTTGATGATGCGTGGTTGGGGTGAGAATGAAAGAACTCACGATGAAGTTACAGTTTTGTTTAATGAAACTTTTCGAATCGGACAACCGGACATAGTAAGATCTACCGTTGCTAAGACAATTCAACGATTTAATGAAACAGGTTCCATAAAGGATAAGCCAAAAGTAGGAAGAATGAATTATCACAATTGTTTCGTAACTGGGAGTGTTTTTAAGGGAATGGGGCTCATATGCAGTGTTTTGTAAACGTTTCGACATCAGCTACAAGAATCTGTAACAAAAACTGACGAGTTTCATTTGAAATTTTTTACGTTATTTGTATGCAGCTCGTAAGGGTCATTTCAAGGTCATGCCGTCTATGCCACATAATACATCTTTTCATACCATAAAAATTATGTCTAAGACATTTTGTCGAAAAATGAATAGTTTCGGAAATAATTGTTTGCTTCCATACTTTTTCCTCACCCTGTATTTCAAATATTTTATCATTTCTTTTCCACACATTTTTATTTGTATACAACATATCAAGAAGTTTTTTTTATAATTTGAATACTACAATAACGGTATTTAAACACAAATACGGTATTTAATCTTGAAATTTAAAAAAATGAATCTAAATAATGTGATTTATAAATCAAACGATAGAATATTTTCAAAATCTCTACTTATAAATATTTCTAAATTTAATTTTCATATTGTCCTATATTATATCTTTTTATATACTTGTTTCGTTTAAATAAGAATAGCTATGTATATTAAATCATTTTTATTTCCGCAACACATTTCACACACATTTTCTTTTATTTTTATTATTTTTATTTACTTTAATATAATTAACTTATTTTGAACATTTATATATGAATGTGTATGAATGATGATGTATTTTAATCGTGTTAATGTTTGTTCGTTTATGAATGAGACTATATTCACGCGTGTATTATATTAATTTATAATATTTTTGTTTTCTCTATAAACTACACAGGCCTGCAAAAAAGGGGGTCAAAATTTCTTTTTAAGATGCAATAATGATTTTTGACGTAATTTTGTGCGTTGAATCCGAATCTGGCCGCCGAATTTGCGTAGCACGTCAGGTTTTTGAGTTATTTGTAGTTGAATAGCCCAAAAATCGCTATTGTGGCCAATTTCATGAATTTATTATAAACCAAATTTTTTGAAATATTTCTGTCAATGGCATCGTATAATACTCACCTTCATCTTTCGAATCCACTTTCGATTACCGCCGCACGATTTTTTTTCGCTCAGATATACAAGTCATAAGACTGGTCATGCATGGATCTAATAAGCCATTCTAAATCAACCTTGCTACCTCTTTATTTCACTACGAAATTAGAATAAAAAAATTAGAATAAAAATATACATTTTTACATTTAAACCTTCTGTCATCTTTTGAAATTAAAAATGACGCATCCAATATGGCGAATAGAATCACAATAAAAAGACATAAAATGTAGAAAAATTTATCAAAATGTGTAACAACCGTATTAGATATTTCTTTACAATACTTTTTTGGACAACCGAACCTGACATATGTCAGTCTTTTCAAAATCATGGATCTACCATATTGATGTCTATATAAATTTTCTTTAACGTAAATTTTTTTACAACGTCATACTTATATCTCAGCGAAGAAAAATCATGCGGCTGTAATCGAAAGTGGATTTGAAAGACGAAAGTGAGTATTATACAATGCCATTGGCAGAAATATTTCAAAAAATTTGGTTTCCTCGCAATAAATTCATGAAATTGGCCAAAATAGCGATTTTTGAGCCATTCAATTACAAATTACTCAAAAACGTGACGTGCTACGCAAGTTCGGCGGCCAGATTCGAATTCAGCTTACAAAATTACGTCGGAAATCACTATTGCATCTTAAAAAGAAAAACCTCGCAGACTTGTGCTATCGTTACACTCCGTGCAAATTCTAATATGGCATGTGATATTTAAATTGCAAACATATTGTATATTATATGTATGCGTAGTAGTGCGTAGAAATATGTTGTCCTCGCTGAATAAATATGTACAGGTAAGGTAGAAAATCCAGTTTTGTCGCATTTTTCATAAAATAGTGTGTAATATAACGCGATCATAATCTCTGCAACAATTCCAATTAATAATAAAAGTATATCCTAATTAATTACGTAAAAACGAGCAAATATAAACTAACAATAAGAATTGTTATTAAGTATTATATATTCACTTTTAATAGATATTATATAATTTTACGTATTATTAACTTTACGTATACCATCTTATGTCCCCCTAGAAACCATACAACTTTTGTCTGAAACATCTTTTTCTAAAATTAAAAATAAGAAAGTTATTTGAGGTGGGACATTAAAATGGGATACCCAGTATATATATATATATATATATATATATATATATATATATGTATATATATATATATATATATATATATATATATATTGGTATGAATCATTATGGAAAAAACTGTAATGCTCGGTAGATTTTTCAAGTCAGATTATAAAATTACAATCGTTTGAATATAAATAATAGCCCTATAAATTTTCTTTTTCCTTTTTAATTCTTATTTGAGCAGAGATTTCCGTAGCTTTTGCGTGAAAATTATGCGCTGCACTTATGATTTTAAAATAATGTAACAATATACATTTCACGCGTAGTTGTACAACAATACAAGAATTATAAATATTATATTGAAAAATGAATTTAAGTGGGTTCCTATATGTTTTATCAGTAGGATAGTAAAGTGCTCTTTCTCATTTTTTTTTACTACACTTTGTCTATTTTTCTATCGTGACCACAAATTTTGCAATATATGACAAATTTCAGCTATGAATGAATCAAACTCTGAGATTCAATCCTTCTACAAAAACAAAACAATCTTCATTACTGGTGCTACTGGTTTCATGGGCAAGGTCCTTATAGAAAAGTTGCTATACAGCTGTTCAGATCTCGACAAAATCTATATCTTAATAAGAGCCAAGAAGGATCGCAGTTGCAACAATCGACTTGAAGATATATTCAAATTACCCGTAAGATATTGTGCGAATTATTTTTATTATCCTTTACTACCCCCCCCCTCTCTCTATCTCCCCCCTCTCTCCCTCTCCCTCTCTTCCTCTCCCTCTCTCCTCCCCTCTCTCTCTCTCATTTTGATAATTGTTCTATAGCTTATTTTATATATATAATAATGTTCTATATAATTTTTTAAATTTAATAGTACTTCAAAATATTATATATTATAAAATTTCAAAAAATTAACAATATTATTATATTATTCGACATATGATGTGAATCAAACATACAAATGAAAATATCACAAAAATTTATTATGAAATTTTAAATATAAATAGATTTAATTAAATAAGGTTATTCAAAATAAAATTTCTAAACAATGAATGGTAATATATGCAGGAGATTATCAAATAGAAATAATATTTTTATATAGTTGTTTCAAAGAATACAAATTGAGAAGCCTCAAGTTATGAAGAAAGTGATACCGTTTAATGGTGACATATGTTCGGACAACTTGGGCCTTACTGATGAAGAACGTGAGCGACTAATAAATGAAGTAAACATAGTATTTCATTGCGCCGCGGGTCTTCATATGCATGCGAAATTGAAAGATGCTGTCGAAATAAACATGGTACGTAACAATACATTAGCTTTCATAAAGAAATTTAAATCTAATCAATTTAAGTCAATTATGAATCTAGTCAATTTGAACAATTGAATTTATTTACTTTCTATAAAGTTATTAATTAATATTTGCATTGTATATAAAGTTTTTGGTTACAGTCTAATTATTTTTAAACTTTGTTTGCTCACACGATAAATTTTTATATAATAATGTAGATAAAGATATTTATTTTTAGAAAGCTTTATATATTAAAGTAACATAAAAATGAAAGGACACCGCACAATTCTTATGAAACAGTGGTTTCAGTAAAATTGTCTAACAGTTGGATATGTTTTAGTTTATGAACACCTGATCAAAAGTTTAAGAAAAATTATATAATTTACAATGAACAGTTATATATTTTTTCGTAAATAACTATGTGTTTTCTTTATACCAATTAATTCTTTTCATTATTTCGCGCATAAATATATTATTATATTAAATATAATAATATATTTATATATTATTATATTTAATACCGTTGAAAAATGAATATTTTACGAGATATTTTATGGTTTATATAAAATTAGGAAATTATTTCAAGCCGCATAACTCAAAAAATATTTAATAAAAAATACTTTATTGTAGTGTTTTGGAAAGATCTCGAGATGAATTATAAGAATGTACGATAAAAAATGGGGAACTTCATTTAGAAAAACAAAGTTGAAGACACAGAGAAAAATATTCATTGCCAAGAAAAGCAATTAATCAGTTTATTTTTCTCTTTTTAAGTAATAGTTTTCTTCAACAAAGAAAATATATTCTTGATAATATAATCTTAACCTCTAAAAAGATACAGAGACATCATTTTGTAATATTACTTTGGCAATGTTGCAGCAACGTTTTAACACAGTGAAAATATATAAGATGTGTTTCTTTATTTGCCGCTACGCGGCGACACCCAATTTAACTAACGCGTATTCGAATTCATCTAAGATGGATATAAAGATATAAGTCTACAAAGGATTAATGTAGTAATTATATTTCTTGTCTTGTGTCAGTTTAATTTCTGATAAACTGACTTGGTTTACTTAACATTCTGAATTCTAATGAAGGATCTAGATTATTAAACAAATAATTTGTTCCTTCATTGGGTTTCAGAATATTAAACAGATTTTTCTTAATTGAATGAGTAAATAGGAAATAATTCATTTATTACACGTATTAAAATATTCTGGTATCGAATGTATGTAAAATAATTGTATGTATATTATTGAGATAAATATTTAAGAAACATCTAATAAAAAACACTAATAGATGTTTTTTTAAAGGCATTTTTTCCTATCTTTTATAAACATTTTTTTATATTTTCAAAGTTGATTTATTAAATTTAAAACGGTTTGCATTTGTAGCAAAACGCGTTTTAATATTACAAATACGTTGCACCGTAACATTGCTATAATCTTATTACAATATTCCTGAAAGCGGACATTTTAACGTTGCTGCAATCCCACAACAATGATGCAGGAACATTTTGCAGTGAATTTTCAACGTTGCAATATTGCGGTGAAAGATTGCTGCAATGTGTATACAATCTTTGTGTGCTGTATCGAATATGATGACATATATGTCATTTTAGAAGAAAATTATAATTAACTTGCTTATAATATTCTTATTTAGCAAAATAATAACCATTTTTGCATTTATATAACATTAATAAAAGTAAGCGCAAATTTTGTGCAGTTTCTGCTGTCAATTTGCCATCAGGTTGCGCAGATCCTGCTCGGTTTCTGCTGATAGTTTGTTGACAGATTGTATTTTACAAACTGTGTCGCCAAAACAAAAGCTTAATGCGGACACAGATGGCTACGGTTCTGGTGTGGGATTCTGATCGAATTTGCTGCCAATCTACTAACATTTTGCTTACTGGATAATGTCGAATATATCTCCAGCGTACGTGAATTCTAATTTTTGTCGTTTTGTCTAATTTTTCCCGTTTGTCGCCGAACGTCTGTAACGAAAAATCTGTTCATTTTTAAAAATTGTTCCCATTAGGACTTTTGATAAGGAAATCATAAACAAAATGTCCCACTTTTAGACAATTTCACTGAAACCATTTTTCCATAAGATTTGTGCGGGGTCCTTTACAAATAATAAAGACACAGTGTATCTTTTATACTTAATTTTGCACATATAATATTCTTGATGATATATAAGACATGAAACTTTGATTAATTTTCAAGATAGGTACAAAAAGGGTATTAAACTTGGGGAAAGAAATGAAGCATCTGCAAGCTTTTATACATCTAAGCACAGCCTTCTGTCACGTTGATCAAAAGGAAGTAGGCGAGCGTACATATGACTCTTCTAATGACCCTGAGGATATCATAAGACTCGTTCAATGCTTAGATGAAGATACTGTCGATCTTATTACCCCAAAGTAATTAAAAATCGATAATTTTAATAATTAATAACATTCAGCATAAGCGTAGCATGCGCAAATGTATTTTATTTAATCATTGATAATATATTTTTTAAATTATAATTTTTTTAACTTAATTTTTAAAATATTTAAAAATTTAAAATATTTAAATATTTAAAAATTATTATAAATAATTATATAAATTAATGAAATAAACTAACAATATTGATGACAGAATATTAATATACAATATTAGTATAAATATAATATTTATAACTAATGAATATAATATTTAATTAAATGATTAAATTAATTTAATTAAATTTTATTTCTCCCTCTTAATTGTGCATGTGAAAATATATAAGATTTTGCGTGTTTATCTTTGAAATATTTTTTTAGATTACTACGTCGGCACCCAAATACTTATATATATTCGAAACATCTGGCTGAAAAACTGGTAGTTAATGAATTTCCTGAACTGCCATGTTGCATTGCTAGACCATCAATCGGTAATTATCGATATATCATATTAATTATAAAAAGATTATAAAATGTAATATCTCGGCGACTATGTATAGACAAAAAAGAATATAAAAATTAATGAATCCCGTCGCAGTGTTCCCTTCATACAAGGAGCCATTACCAGGATGGGTCGACAATTTAAATGGACCTATAGGAATACTTGTCGGTGGAGGCAAGGGTATTATCAGATCGATGCATTGTAACGGCAATTATAATGCCGAAATAATACCAGTTGATCTTGCAATTAACGATTTAATCATAATTGCATACAAAATTGCTACTAGCCTGAGAAAGTAAGTTTTCATTTTGCTTAAACTTTTCTTCTGCAATAGTAAAATATATTATAATTTAAATTAAAATGGAATTTATCCAATATTATGTTCATAATATAGACAAGTCTTTTTCGCTAGTGCTCCTTAAAACATTTTTTTTTCTTATGAAAATTATACTTACAATATTTTAAAAAATTGTTAAAATATTCCAAATTAAAGTTTCATAAATTGTTAAAATATCTCATCTTTTTTTTAAATTTTAAACTTTTCTTAAATTTATTGTCGTGACTTATTAAAAATATGAAATTACTACAATTTATCATAATTTACTACAATTTCTAAATTATTTAAAATTTTACAATAGAGAGCAATGTTCAAAAGCTTTTTATATATTCTTTCGTCTATTGTATTCTTTAACTATTTTATATTTACACAATTGTCTTTCACTTAAATAAATAAAAAATATTTTTTCTGTTTGATTTGTTATATATAGTTCGGAAAGTATACTCGTAGTCAATATGACATCGCAAATCGATACATTGCGTATCACATGGAGCGAGACATTAAAGAAGGGAAAACAACTTATTTACGAATATCCTTTCGAGAGACAAATTTGGTATCCAGGAGGCGACTTACATAGCAATAAATTTGTGCATAATATTATCGTCTTACTCTTTCAAATTATACCCGCATACTTCATCGACTTTCTAATGCTGGTATTTCGACGAAAGAGATTGTAAGTTTTATATATTTTAATATTTTTAGACATTATATATTTTTTAATTATTCAATTATAATCAATTATAATATAATTCAATTATCTGTTGATTATTATCTGTTGATATTTCTTGCGTTTTTATACGTAATACACAATATTATATAACTGTATAAATTTCTTTAACTATTATCTTTTTTCGTTACTCTTACAAATAGTATGGTCAGAATCCAGAAAAAAATTTTAAACGGTCTGGCGGTATTGCAATATTTCACCACGCGGCAATGGATATTTTATAATAAAAATATAATTACTTTATGCGACGATCTAACACCATTAGATAAAAAAATATTTCCAACTATTATTTATAATATCGGTGAAATGGAATACTTTAAGCATTTAATCCTTGGTACACGGCAATATTGCATGAAAGAAGATCTATCTACTTTGCCGAAAGCCCGTCGGCATCAAAAAATGTGAGTATTCTTTATATAAATTTATTAAATTTCGCGATATTTTCGTACAAACAATACCATCGCCATGTTAAGAATAAAATTTGCTAAGTATTTTATAGAAATCTTCAAAACATACAAATAATAAGATAAATCTCTCAATAAGCAGAAGAGAGAAGTGGATATATAATATTTGATTATAAAATTTGCAGAATTTTTGTATATTAATAATATATTTTTTATATTTTTGAGAAAAAATATTTAATCATATAAAGAAAATATTTCAAAGAAGAAAAGAAGAAATAATAAAAAAACTGAATGTCGTTGAAAATTTTTTTTATAAATATATACTTTTTCTCTTAATGTTAGATACATTTTCCATCTTACATTTTATGTTTGTATAAATCACATGTAATTACCATTTCTGATATAACAACAATTTAATTCACTTTTCTCTACAAATTGATTTTGAAAAAATTATTTTAAAAATTTTTAAATTATAAATTTAAATAAATTAAATTGTATAATATGTATATTAATTAAAATTATAATAAATGTAAACTTGAATTATATAATAAATCTAAATATATTCAAATTAAATTCTGAATTAATTTAAATTTGAAATTAATTTTTTAAATTTTTTGGAACTTTAAAATGTATTTTTATTTAAAATTTTCATATTATCGTATTCTATGAAGCTTATTTATTTCAGGATGTACGTTATTCATATCACGACAATATACTTGTTTTACTACGGTGTATTATATTTAATTTATAACAATGTTGAAATAGTAAGATTTTTCTTCGATTACGTTATTGAGAAAATAAAATCGATACTGTTTATAAGAAAATTCATAGAGCATGTTTAAAAGCACGTGAAGATGAGAAGACGAGAAACTATAGTTACTTGATCTTTCATTGCCCGATTCATCTCTCTCTGTTTTACATATTTGTATTTTTAAACCACTTATACTTATGTACAATGGGGTGTAAATTATATATAATTTGCAATTAACAATTACATATTTTTTTCTTCGAAACAACTATGTGTTTTCTTTATTTACACCAATTGATTCTTCTCATTATTTTGTACATAAAAGTACTAAGGTAAGATAATCGAAAAATGAATATTTTACTAGGTATTTTATGGTTTATGTAAAATTAAGAAATTATTTCAAGCCTCATAACTCGAAAAGTATTCAATGAAGAAATACTTTATTATAGTGTTTTGAAAAGCTCTTGAGGCAAGCTACAAGAATATGCAAAAGTATATAGGATGTCCAATTTAAAAAGTTGGAGGTGACGTTCACGTGACCTTCAGGTGACTCTTCAAGGTCAAATTAATGGTACCATCTGATAGCCCCCTTCAAGCCATACAATTTTGTTTAAAAACATTTTTTTATTTAACGTTTCGGAAATATTTGAAATGGGTATTATTTAAAATGGAACACCTTGTATGCATGTATGTATATATATGTACATATATATACAGGATATATGCTGTATGTATATATATGTACATATATATACAGGATACATATATATAAACATATGATACATAGAATGTGGTGTGATGTAGAAGATTTATTGTGTTTCAAAATACTATCTTTTTATCATGACAAAACTCCATTAAATCTAATACGTATGATTTGTCACACATGATTTATCACATTATTTATTATTAAAACGTATAAATAAAAATGTACATTACAGATAAATTTATCGTTTATTATACATTTTTCCCCACATATACTTATAGAAAATATTTTTTTTAATATTTTCCACAAAAATATTTAACGGAATAAATGATCAAAAAATTGAATTATGTTTCAAATCTTTTTGTGAACCTGCTTAAAATAGACTTTTTTCATCATGAAATATTTCGAAATCTCATAAGAAAAATAGCTAAGATATGTCTGTATTGAACATGACGCAATAAAAGAATCTTTGCATCTTCTATATTCGGAGTTTCCAAGGATAAATGTATTTTTCTTTGATCGTTCAAGGACTCGAATCAATTTCGCGTTCACTGTGTTGATTAATAGAAGTTTATCGCATTACTTTTATTGAGAAAAGATCTTCTCTTTTTAGTTCTCCTATTTTTTTAATAAGGATTGCGCCCTTTCGAATATATCACTGCTATTAATAAGAGTCTTCCATTAATAAATAATCCGCAAAAATATTTTTTATTATTCTAGGATATTTTATTATAAAGATGTATAAAAATGGAGTTGTAGAACACTTTTAGGACAAAGAGTGATACAAATTGACTAAGAAATTTATTAGTCAGATTATAAAATATATATAATTAATACAGGTGCAGAGAAAGAAAAAAAATCCTCGAAATAACGCATTTTCGCATACGCTCATCTAACGCACATCTTGACACTCTCGCAATGATACATATATTGTTGACATCGCAGACCGAAAATGCTCGGGTGACCTATCGGGTTTACATCTAGAAAAATACTCAAGTGGTCTGTCTGTTTATATCTAGCACAAGTGCTCGGATAGTTCTATGAACGCACTCTCCTTCATTATATTGCTTAAAAATAATAGTTGAAATATTTATTCTAAATGATTAAAAATCTAGAGACTAGAGAGGTTCAAATAAATTAGCAAACATCCATGAAAAATATCGTAAAACTAACTTTGTATTGATAATTAAATGTAAAATCAGTTAATATCTACAAATAAAACGAATATACTATCTGGTCACACATCTTGTTATTTTGTTTTAGGATTTTTGTGTGCAATAATTCATTCTAAAAAATTATTATTTGTTATATGTTGTAATGAAAAAATATATTATTAGAAAATTATATATATAAATTAATTAGAATATGCTTTCTTGGAAGACATGTTATAAAACAGCATCAGAAAATGATTAATTAGGAAAAGCATTCAAAAGATTACAACATACAATACTTTGGTGCTATAAAATATAAAAGATACAGAAAGAAGAAGTATGATTTACAGCCTTCTATAATTATCACGCTGTTGAGATGAAGATCCTGATGTCATTGTCGAGTAAATAAATGGCAGAACAGACGTTAATGCTAAACAGAGACCGATTACCGGTCGATACCATACCCAAGCGAAGCCGATCACCAGCAAACTGATGGACATGGAAACTGATATAGTCAAAGATTCGACTGCTATTATTCCGCAAAGGAAAGTCGAATTTAATATAATGGTTTTTAGTATATTTGCTAAACATGTTGCTGCCACAAACAAGACCAACCAACCAAGTCCTCTATAACAAGAACAATCATTAATGTTTTATAATATATGTATAGTACAACGGAAAATACTTTATACAATAATTATATATTTTTTAATTATATAATTTAATTTAAAGCATGATGTTATATATATATATATATATATATATATATATATATATAACATCATATATATATATATATATATATATATATATACGTATATATATATATATATATACCATGTGTATATATATATATATATATATATATATATATACACATGGTGTATCAGAAAGATGGGTATCTCAGATTAACTTGAAGGGATGCCATTTTTGGAAAAAGATATTAAATACAAAAGTTTTAGGATTTGAAAATGGGCATCTGATGGTGACTTTCAACTTGGGTCATATTTAGAGATCAAATCAAGGTTAACTTGATTTTTTTAATGAACATCCTCATTTTCTATTATATATTTTTGTAATTTATCTTCAAATCTTTTCAAAATATTATAATAAAATATCTTTTCATTAAGTATTTTCCGATTTATAAAGCTTAAAATAATTTCGTAATTTTATATAAAATATCTTATAAAATATCTTATAAAATATTGACGTAAGATCATCGAAAAATGAATATTTTACGACATATTTTATAGTTTATGTAAAATTAAAAAACTATCTCAAGCTTCATAATTCGAAAAGTATTTAATGAAAAGATATTTTATTATAATAATGTTTTGAAAAGATCTGGAGATAAATTACAAGAATATGCAATAGAAAATGGGAGTTTCCATTCAAAAAAATTAAATTCAACTTGATTTGACTTCTAAAATTTGACTCCTAGTTTAAATTCACTACCAGATTTCCAAATACTAAAATATATATGTGTGTGTGTGTGTGTGTGTATAATATATATATATATATATATATATATGTATATATATGTATAATGCCTTAATATAACTGAATCACATACATATAAAGAAAAGTTGTATTGTTAATTAGAATTAATTTAATTATAATTTAAAATGATGTTACAAAAGAATTAATTCTGATATTTTTACTTATTTTTATCAAACATTACCTAATGGTCCAAGTACGCCAGTAATTGTTTACATGCTCTAAATGAAACATTTGATCCACTGATATTTTATGTTTTCGTTGAAGTAAGATCTCTTCACCATGGGATGTGTAATATGGCTTGATAGTATCTTTCTCTAGCAAGCCAACCACCGAGTAAATGTCACCACTTTTTCCTGCATAGGAGAATTGTATTCTGATATCACCCACCTACAAACAATGAAGTTTAAAATGTATATAATAATTTAACAACAAAAAAAAGGTAACCAATGTAAATGTTTTTTAAGAAAAAATACGAATTGATATGTAGATATTTCAGTATGGAAAAAAAATTATATGAACTAAAAATTGAGAAAAAAAAAAAGAAAAAAAAAAAAAAATATATATATATATATATATATACATATATATATATATACGAGGTGTGTTCAAAAAAAAAAAGGTGATTTTTTATTTTTCTCGAAAAATATTTATTTATTCATCAATATCTATTTTGTCCCCTTCAAAGTAATCCCCCTCAGATATTATACACTTGTGCCAGCGCTTTTTCCAATCCTCGAAGCACTCCAATCCACAAACACATAATTGTTCCGAAGAAAAAATATGTAATTTACAATTAACAATTACATATTTTTTCTTAAAAACAACTGTGTGTTTTCTTTACACCAATTGATTCCTCTCATTATTTTGTACATAAAAATATTAAGGTAAGATAATAAAAAAGTGAATATTTTACTAGATATTTTATGGTTTATGTAAAATTGAAAAATTATTTCAAGCCTCATAACTCGAAAAATACTCAATGAAAAAATACATTATTATACTTTATTATAGTGTTTTGGAAAGCTCTCGACATAAGCTATAAGAATATGCAATAAAAAATAGGTGGTTCCATTTAAGAAATTAAAGGTGTCCTTGACCTGACCTTAACGATACCATCCAAGGTCAAACCAATGACACCATCTTATGTTCCCCTCAAAACTATACAATTTTTGTCGAAAACGTTTTTCTCTAAAAAGCTTAGTTTTTGAAAGAAAAGGGGTGTACGGATGGTCTAGAGCACCCTGTATATACAGGATGGTCCCGAACGTTCCAGTCAGACTTTGAGATCTTATAGGAAATTTAAATCTGAACAAGGTAATAAATTTCTTGAAAAAAACGATAAAAATAAAAAATAAAAATCTTTTTCCTTTATAAAAATAATTTTTTTTTTTACTAATATTTTAGTAATAGCACGTAATAGTAGAAAATGAATACGTTTTAGATAATGAAGACGTTTTTCAAGAAATTTATTTAGTTTCATTTTTTTTTTGTTTCATTTTCTTTTCACCTTTTGCTCTTCCTTCATCAGAGGTTTTTGAGCGATAACTTCTTAAGGAAGCATTTTTCGGTCCATGTTTATAGGAAATTTTTTGTTCAGAATTAAATTTCCTATAAGATCTCAAAGTCTGGCTGGAATGTTCGGAGCCACCCTGTATATATATATTTTTTTTTAGAAAAAATTTCCAGTTTTTCTTTAAAATCTTCACTATTGATTATTAATCATATGTATCTTCATTTTGTTTTCTTTTATAATTAAAAAAAACTTTTTAAATAACATACTTGTGGATTCCATAAATCTGCGCTATGATAATATAATCCAGAATGCATCTTAATGTCCTTTCGCTCTGGTCTCTCGTCACTGGTAATCTCTACAAAGTCACTAAATTTCTTCTTCAATTCCATGCTGAGAACAAACGCGCCAATCCTCACTTCGTCCGCGATCTGTATTTGGCTCTTGATTGGTATTTCCTTTGGATTATGATGACCAGTACGAATATAGAAATGATCCGAATCTATAAGTTTATCCTTCCATTCTGTCGTGTAATAATAATGCTTTTCATCTTCTGCTATTCCACCAAAACTAAAAGTTGAAAGATTCAACTTTTAACATATTTTAATAAACAACGTTAATATTTATGTTAAGTAATGTTAATGTTTATTTCATATACAGGGTGTCCCAAAAGTTCCGGACCGGATATTTCATAAACTATGCACTTTAGAAAGAAATGTTTCAGACAAAAGTTGTATGGCTTGAAGGGAGCCATCAGATAGTGGCAATGATTTGACTTTGGAGAGTCATTTGAAGGTAACGTAAAGGTCACCTTCAATGTCTTAAATGGAACTCCCTACTTTTTATTACATATTCGTGCAGCTTATCTCGAGAGCTTTCCAAAACACTATAATAAAGTATTTCTTCATTGAGTACTTTTCGAGTTATGAGACTTGAAATCATTTCTTAATTTTGCATAAACCATAAAATATCTAGTAAAATATTCATTTTTCGATTATCTTACCTTAATACTTTTATGTACAAAATAATAAGGGGAATCAATTGGTGTAAAGAAAACACAGTTGTTTTAAAAAGAAATATGTAATTGTTAATTGCAAATTATATATTTTTTTCTTAAAAACAACTATGTTTTTTCTTTACACCAAGTGATTCCTCTCTTATTTTGTACATAAAAGTATTAAGGTAAGATAATCGAAAAATGAATATTGTACAAGATATTTTACGGTTTATGTAAAATTAAGAAATGATTTCAAGCCTCATAATTCGGAAAGTACTTAATGAAAACTAATTTAATTATAGTATATTTTGGAAAGCTCTCGACATAAGCTCCTAGAATATTTAATAAAAAATATGGAGTTTCATTTAAGAAATTGACGGTGATCTTCACGTGACTTTCAAATGACTCTCCCATGTTAAATCATTGCCATTATCTGATGGTCCCCTTCAAGCCATACATATTCAACATTTCAACTTTTGTTTGAAACATTTCTTTCTAAAGTGCATAGTTTATGAAATATTCGGCCGGTCCGGCTTTTGGGACACCCTGTATGCAATCCATTGACAAAATTTTTATTTTCAACCACGCTAATTATTATCCTATATTATTTATGTTACCTTTGCTCTTCCTCAATTTCAACCCACTGATACATCTGAACTCTTCTTTTTAATTTCACGCTGGACATAACAACTCCGTAATCTGGCTCAATTAATGGTTCAAAAACCATCAAAGGCCCCGACAGATGTATCAAGCGTCCTTCATATTCAGGTGACAGTACCATTGAATTAGGAAGCACAATTACATTGCGTAAAGCCTCATCTAAAGAATGTGCCACTTTCACTGCCCTTCCCTAAAAGAAAAGAAAGAATAAAAAATCAAGTTTTTGAATGTTATAGAAGTATGTTATTTGCAAACCTCATTCCAAAATAGAAGACACAATCCAGTGGCAAACATAATGGAGCCAATTATAGCTGTGAGCCATGATTGTCTAAACTGCTCTGAGATTGTCATTTGACTTGTAGAGCTAATCTGCCTTCCTTGACTGTGACAATTCTGACAAAGTCTGTCTGTAACGTCTCCTCTCTGCGGCTGACCATTTTGCTACAAAGCATATGTTTCACAAATCTATCATATTCTACTAATCTCAGTATTCAATGTAAAATGTTAATAATGTTCTTCATGAAGAAAATTGTACTTACATTTGCGCGATACATCTTAATACCAGTTATAAACTTATAGCAAAGGCAAAAGATCTTGAAATATTCGTGTCATAAATATTTTACTAGACTTTTTCTCTCTTCTATGAATTTAAATGACACTTGCTGACCAGGGAAGAGATCTCATCGATCTGGTCGATAAGATAATAAGTGACTAGTGAAATCTTTTGTAGTACTGTCAACTAAATTAACTTAATCTTGATTTTCTTTTAAAGAGATCTCCTTATATCCTTTTTTCTCATCTCCTGGATTACTAAAAAGAAAATAAATATAAAATTATATTTTTATTTATCGACCTCTTAAATCAATATAATTATCAAATCCCTCCAACCCAACAACCAAAGGGCGGCAGTTATCGTTGATTGATTGTCGATTAAATACACAATTTAACAAACATATTTATTAATTATAAACAATTTAAAGAGAAACTACAAAACTTTTTAGCTTTACTACAAAACTCTACAAAAACAAAATACGATTGATTAAAAAAAGAAAAAAATTATTTATTATTAATTACTAAATCATTAATTAAAAATTAATTATAAAGTAACAAACAAAAATGATCGCACTACAATAAATCTATAAATGAAATACAATCGATTTCATACCTACAATATAGGTCCATGGCTGAAATTTGAGAATGGAAATGAGATTTAGGACAGAGAGAAGACTGAGAGATGTCATGGCCTGCTTTTAGATGATCTCTGAAAGCGATACTTCCTCTATGGATATTGAAAACGTGAACATGAACTACAAAGCCAAAGTCCATAAATGTTCTCATAGGGTAATATATAATGTGCACAATTTCTGGTTTTGTTCCGTGCTATGTGCATGAAATGTCAGTAGCATCGGTGCTGTATAAGTGTATAACAAGATATTTTTATGTATGTAATAGTAAATAAATGATTCAATCGCGAAAGATAGTGTAATATTCAAAGATGAAATAAATATTTTTCTATATTAATTGTCATATTTATATCTTTTTATTTACAAAACACAAAATACCTGCTGTGAGATAAAAACATATTTAACCGTATTTCTATAAATCTTCTTAATTAGCAGTAAACTGATCTTTGATATCTATCAATCATTTTTTTAATTATTTAAAAATTTAATTATAAATACATGTATAGAATTTGTCAAATTAATCACTGATTCTTCCGAAGTTTTTAATTAAGACTAGAAAAATATAGATGTTTGCAAAATATTTTAAGTCTCTTCCTTTATATAAAATATAAAGAATTTGTGTGTTCCATTTTAATATCACTAACATTATTTTTATATATTTTTATTATAATTTTCATACCAACATAATATTTTTATGCATAATATTTTTATGCTAAATACATATTACAAAATATATGACAAAATATAATACAAATTTAATATAAAATATAATTTGAAATTTAATACAAAATAATTTATTACATGGAATAATTTATTACACAAAAATATCCAAAATATACATATAATATAAAATTTACTAAAAATTTTTACATAGTCCAGACGAGACTGATCAGCGAAGATTAATTATGTATTTATTATTAAAAATAGATATGCAATAATAGAATTTAATAAGTTTTATATAACGTAAATAATCATGATCAAAAGAGTCATTAATAAAATTATTGATCGTTTCTTTGAGTAAAAGAAAGTATTTACTGACGCATTTTGTATAGATTATCAAGGAAATATTCAAATATTCAAATATTATATAGATTATCAAGGAAATATTCAAAATCAAAAGATAGAATAAACTTCAAAATCAACAATTAAATTACTAAATAAATCGCGATTTAAAATTCACGAGAAAACGCGACAAATAAATAAATCGACAATAATCGGAATATTCAATTAGGAAACATAATGTTTATAATATGATTATCGAAACTATCAATAGACACGGGTTGCGATATAATTAGTATCACACAAATGATGACAGACGAAGATATTTTAGCAAACATTTGTGATCCGTATTGTTTATGAACATAAAATACACTGTCCGATTTATGTGCGATTAATACGCGACTTTATACGAATTTCATTGATTGAGAATAAAATACATATCCTATTTCGCGCATGATTAGCTGAATAAGATGAAATGAGCTCTATAAGCTTTAAAATATAATTAAAAATCGCGTAGTGGCCACGTTTAATAGAATAACGGAACGAATGATTTTCAAAGTCTCTCTAATAATCGATGTAATTGTAGAGTTTAATAAGATTTAAATAATGTAAAGAATCACGTTTAAAACAATCATTAATAAAGTTATCGATTGTCTTTTAAATTATAGAAAAAAATATTTGTACTACCAGCATTTTGCACGAACTATTAAAAACAATATTCAAAGACGTGAAAAGATAAACAAAGCTTCAATGTATAAGTCAACAATTAAATTATAAGATAAATCGCGATTTAAAATTCCCGAGAAAACGCGATGAATAAATAAATCGATAATATTCGGAATATCCGATTGTGATATGTATACCTTTTTTATAATTATAATTACAATTATAACTATTTATAATTTACAATTTACAGTTTATAAATTTATGATGCTATCAATGTCAAATAATAATATTCCATTTATTCGAATATTTAATCGATATAATAATTTGATATTAATAGCATTAACATTTGGATTTAATATTATATTTGATTTAATACACATATATGTTTAAGTTTTAAAATAAAATATAACATGGTAAGATTTCCTGAACATTAATAATTATACAATTTCTTTAATATTTCTGAAGATAATTTTGATAATTTAAATTTCACTTTTAAAACATGTTATATTTATTTTTAGATTGTTTTTAAAAATAAATTCAACTTATGAATAAATTCAACTAATGAAAATCATTTTAATTTACCACTAGGATTATTGAAATATTAAAAGAAAGAATGAATCTTAATTAATAGCCCTAACAACTCTACTATTAAAGGATTCTAATAATTTTAATAGCCCTAACAACCCTAATATTAATAAAAAAATTCTAATAATTTTACTTAATAGCCTTAACAACCCTACTTCCTGATTAACTAAAATTATTCGAGATTGGAGGAACCTATCTCTAATCATCGCCTCACCTAATCATGTATATATTTTAGTCACGTGCCCTAATCGCGTATCCTAATCGCATGCCCTAACCGTATTCTTCAGGCCAGTTGAATCTACCTTTCGTTAATTCTGGCCACTTTCTTTCTCGATCTCTAATCAGAGATCGAAGAAGGAGATAATTACTCCTTCTTTTGCCGGATAATTACCAGCAAAAGAGCGTGAAATATTTACTCTCATTTAGCGATCATTTATCGATCGTTCGTTAAATATTGAATATAACTTTATTTTAACTGAAATAAAACCAAATTACTACAAATTTCTACAAATTTCTATAAATTATATTTTATAATAAAATATAAAATTAATGTGTGTATTTATCATATTATAAATTATTTAATTAATTAATCATTTGGTTTTATATTAAGTTAAAGTAAAATTTAAAAACAGTAGCTACAAACAAATTCTACGATGGATGAGCTATCAGCAATTAGAAAATAAGTGTGTATTATAAAAATAAATTAACATTAAAAATTGATAAAATTAATAATTGTTAATGGGTGTCCTTTATTTAATAAATTAGACAAAATTTTTACAAAATATCTTTTCTTGATCTCTTCTTTTTTTAATTAATATTTCAATATATTATTGCAATACATGTAAAGCATAAGTTCGAAAGAACTTATTAAAATTATTTAATTTAATTAATTCAATTTAAATATTTAATTTAATTTATTTAATTTAATTCATCCTAGCTCATCCATTTTAAGGCAACGGATTTATCTACAATCTACAATTTACATCTACATCTACATCTGCAATCTCTACGAATCCGTTATCTTAAAATTAAATAAAAGTTGTTTTCACTCACCAGCACTGATGCGCAACAGAGCAATTATTGTTATCGAAGCTAGTTGTCTGTAACATACAAATATAAAATTCATTTATAATAATACTCACAAAATGCAATTAATGTTTAAAAAATTTATATCGCGCTGAATTTTATATCTGATGTGTAAAATAATAAGCAGAAAAACGCGTATGAAAAAATTTTATAAATTTTTGAAATTGTATCTTAAATAGAAAATTTCATATGACTTTTATAAAAATCTTTCTCTTTAAGTAATAAGATCGAATTATTATTCGTTTATAACAAGTTAACGATTTAATATATAAAATTATAAAATATAAAATACAATTAATATATAAATAATAAATATTCACCATCAGGTTGCTTCGCCGATGTAAAATGCCTCTCCCAGGCCTCCTTCTCTTCTCATGTTGTTGGCGCGCGATACTTTTAACGACACTCCTGCACTCGCGAGCGATATTTTTATATCGCTATTTTCGTTATTTTACGCGCAATACTGAACGGCACTCCCGCACTATTGCGATTAAAAATTTTATATTTGATCGCGCGACGTATATACTTAATATATATATACTTTTAACGGCACTCCCGGTTTCGTTACGAGCGAAAATCACATTTTACTTACAAAAATCCACAAGAGTCAGTAGGTTGGAAATGCAACGATACAACGAGCAAAAATTAAGCCCAAACCGGAAAGAAGACGAAACGATTGATGGAAATAGAGGAAAATGAAGTTCACCAACTCCTTTTCGCTCATAATTATCCTATCTCGTATCGAACATGGACCCGCTAAGCACGATTTCAGGTGCTCCGCCCGGATATATTATGCAAACCCGCGGTTGCTATATCCTACACCAGGCTGGTGGACGGCAAAAGAAGAGGATACCCACATTTTTTAAATGCTTAATATTTTGCAATTTAGAAAATGGGGAGGCAACCTCTTTTACCGAGCAAAAATTGTGCCTAGGGGAATCCACTCGACTCCTCGACAGGGTTAACACACGCAGTGCGTGTGGCTGTAGACGAGCAAAGAGAAAGGACCCATTGACGACCATTCCGAGCAATTGATCAAGTTCTAACTAATTCGAGCCGAATCACTTGACGAAACACGAAGCAAAAGTGTACGTTGCATACCAACGTGTGCAAACTCGAACATCCCAGTTAACTGGCATCGGAAGTAGAGACTCGTGACAATAAATGAAATTATGGGGATTTTATATGAAAAAGTCCAAAAGTTCCGCGAAAACGCGACGACGCGAGAATATTACAACGCGAAAACCCGACGCGTTGACGAAGCGCTTGCCGTCCGCGGCACATCTTCGTTGACAGCACCGACGACGCGAAAGGGTACTTAGCTTCCTATTCAGGTACCTTAAGATTTATCATAAATTGAAAAATTTAAGATAAACCTCAAGGCACCGTCCAAGTACTAAGCCCTCCCACCACGACAAGGTGTACCCCATGGGAGAGTTATATTATATTATATATAATTTTATATATAATAATATATAATTATATATAATTAAATAATATATAATTAATTTTGTAATATACTAACAAATTATACTAATAAATGTTAATTCGCAAATATAAACGATAAATAAAAATATAAAAGATAAGAGAAAATCTATTATATGAAGTAACGTTCAAAATAATTGTTAGAGAAAGAATTTGATAATATATGGAACGTCTCACATCATTATCTCATTGCTCGAAGGCCACTGAGGGAATGATCGTAGGTCAGAAACATTACCGCGGTATTGTTTATATCGCCAAGATTAAGTATGTAGAGAGAGAATTTGATAATATATGAAACGTCACTACTTTATTGTTCAAGGTTACTGTGCGAATGATCACAAGTAATAAAACGTCGTT